CCAAAACAGTCTACTGCCTTTGAAAACAGCCTTTACACGCATTTCGAAGGCGGAATTTCTGCAGATTTGATTATTTTTGGGCTACTTGGTAGACCAGCGTCCCGGCACCAAATTAGCAATCGTACATCCGCATCGAAACCAAGATTTTGATAAGGAATAACAGTTTACATTGTGAATTAAACTTGTTCTGCCACCGTTGGGGAAATTTTAACTTGCTCTGAAAGGACGAAACACACGTTTGTTGCACAATAGTGTTAGAATTAAATTGTAGTTGTATCGGGAATGCAGGAAGTGTGGGTTGTTAAGTGAGTAAGTATGCATTCGAGTGCATAACACGAGAAGCCAAACAATTTATATACAGCTGAAGTTACGAACAACATATTGCAGTGCGCATGAATAGGAGGCCGATGTGTTTCGATGTAATAACCCTAAAGCAATTAGGCTGCTGAACATATTGCGAGAGAAATTCGGATCTTACGAACGATTGCGGCAGACATAAACGATAGAATAAAATGCATGAAATAAAGCATTTTGGTTTAAATGGCTGGAAACGGTGTATTGGCCGGGTAGTAATTACAGCTCCATGGATTTTCAGTTGGGAATGTTCGTACACTTGGGTGGACATTTCGAATTATATCAGGTCGAATGTTTGTCCGACAGCGAACGCGGCTTGAGAAAATTCGACATTATTCCAATAGTATTCGGTGGGCGGAGTTACCCATATCGCGTTTGAGTAGCGGTAGTGTGCATCGGCTTAAAAGTGATCGCCGGTAGATTGGTGTCCATGATGTGTAATTCTCGGTGGAGAAGACAGAAATAGTACTTTATGGTAAACGTCGAAATCTTGTGCATATTTTCCTAGATCTATAGGGTTCAGAAGACCCAGGTTTATGTTTATATACCTTTTATCCCACTTGTACTATTGGCCGACTGCTACTGAGTACAGTCTCTATAGTAACATTATGGTCGGAAAAATCAACCAGACATGGTTTGCTAACTGTATGCAAGTTCAGTTTAAGTGGGTACTGGTGTACGCGATATACTTGGCTTGAATATTTCCTCACTTCATTTACGGGCAGTAAGTTAAACGGACAACAATGAAGCAAAATCATACGTTTTCTTAAGGCTGACAATAATGCAGTCTATCGATTCTGCTTGCA